GTATAGCCGGGGTACAGCAGCTGTCGAATGGCGAGGCGCAGTTTGTGTCCCTGGCGAGGGTGCTGCTCTACGGGTCAGTCATGGATGGCGGCATACTGTTGCTTGACGAGGCCACAAGCAGGTACGTGCATTACTCGGCATCATTCTTCTTCTTGCAGGCCGGCAACCTGACAATAGGTTACAGTCTTGACGACGAAGCGCAGCGCAAGGTGGAGACGCTGATCGAAGAAAAGTTCCGCGACAAGACAATCATTTCAGTTTGTCATAGGCTCTCTTGGGCGCTCAAGTCGGACCGCATCATTGTCCTTGAAAAGGGAGAGGTGATACACGACGGGTCGCCGCGGGACATCGCAAGGGAATCAGCCTTGTTCGCAGGCATATCCTTGTCAGATCCCGTGTAAAGACGTAGAATTAGACTCGCTCATGCTTGGATAAAGAAGTTAGATGCACTTTTATGCTTCTGCCTCCTTGCCCTTTTTTACATGGTTTAGCTCGAGCACTGCTGATGCCACGTCCATTTGGTGAGCTTCCTTGGTGGTGGATCATTCGTATTTTAAATACGACCTATCTGCGAAGTGGCCTCTGTTGGGTTATTTGGAGTCCTTGGAGTCCAAATGTTGGGTAACTCAATCGCACCTTCGACTGGTGATGGCGTGCGTAACTTCACGGATAGCCGTGACAGAACACTTTCCGGATCAAGAGTAATAAGCCCTGCACCTCTGAGATACTCCTTTAATATTAGTTTTCGTCATGGCAGCTTGAAATGCAGCCAAAAGAAAAGGATGTAGGAAGTCCGTCTTGGTAATGTGCGTAAGATGCCTTTCATCAACCCCTTCAATTTTCCGCCCATATTCTTTCTTCAGCGGCCCTAAACACCTAAATAAAAGTGTTTAGGGAATGTGTGATGAATGTGCCGGCATTCGGAGCGTGATGGTTTTTTGTTCCCAGTAAAACAGCTTAAATTCCGTGGAGTGGTGGCTTCCATGCCCGTCTATAATCAGTAGGCAATATACACAACAAGATCGCGGCTCGGTATGCTTTTCGTGATGCCATATCTATTCTACTCCTTCCTCATTTTTATCTAATCATTATAAGTCGTGGCTACAACTTAATTAGAAGGTAGCGTAATATCTTTATACTACTTAGTTAGGTAATGCTTCTATATACTAATGATGAACGGCAGGATGGCCTAGCCTTAAGAATTAATGCTTTAGGTGATAGTAACCTATTCTCTATTCCCTAACTAGGCTAACTTTAGTCTGCTACTTCTTTCGAGCTTGTAACAACCATTGCGGTTGAGATGACGCCTACTATAAAGCTACCCTCATCGAAGTTGTGGATACCCAGCTTCTCAATCCCGTGCTTTACAATTATATCTCGCACAATTAATAACTAAATAAATATAATAATTTAATAGCTAGTTCAGGTATTTACTAGCAATTATTCTCTACTAGCGAGTCGCTGTAGTACTAGCGCTAAATATTTTATAGTACTATATATAATAAGATGTTATAGCTTAGAAGCGGTGAGTCTTTCGAAGCCCTATTTCGAACATTTTTACAAGCTCTAGCTAAAAGAAGTATAGTAAATTGAAACCTATGCTGCTTCTATTGTAATGACTCATGTTTATAAAGTGGGCGTTACTCCGCTTTATTTCTCCCCATTATAATGGCTCGTGTATTTAGAGGGAACGTCACTCCGCTTCGTTCATCGCGGTTCATTCTCACACCAGACATCCATCATGTCGTACCAAACTCAGCAGGCTTACCACCCTCAGCAGCAGCAGCAGCAGCAGCAGCAGCAGCAGCAGAACAACATGCCCGGCTCATCCTCAGCCGACAGTGGCTCTTTCCACGGCGGCACTTACAGCATCAACCACCGCGATACAAATGCAATCCTCAATATCAATCTCCAGCCCGGCGCGGTGGTAAACTCCAAGTCAGGCGCCATGATCCACATGGCCGGCACAGTGCAGCTCACTGGCAACGTCAAATTCTCAATGAAGAAGCTTTTCACGGGAGGACAAATGTCCGAGTCTACATACGCCGGGCCGGGAACTGTTGCTCTCGGCCCTACGCTCATGGGCGACATTATTACCCTGCATGTCGATGGCCGAACGCAATGGACGGTGGGCAAGGATGCCTACCTCGCGCGCACGCCCCAAGTGGTCATGGATACCAAGGCGCAGGGGATCAGCAAATCGCTGTTCTCAGGCGAGGACATCTTTGTCTACCGTCTGGCTGGGCAGGGTTTGCTCTGGTTGACCAGTTTCGGAGCAGTGGATCGTCTGGAGGTAAAAGACTGTGCTAAGTTGCGTTCTCGCCCTTGACACATTTGCACTAACTGTTCTTTTAAAAATAGCTTCGACCGGGCGAGCAGCACATTGTTGATAACGGTCACCTTGTAGCCTGGAGCTGCGATTATAAGATCGAAAAGGCTGGAGGCGGATCTATGAGCAGTCTCAAGACAGGCGAAGGCTTGGTATGCCGCTTTACTGGGCCTGGCGCTGTGTATGTGCAGACGCGAAATATGGATGAGTTTACTTCACATATCAGCTCACATATGGAGTAGTAGCGCATCGAGAGAATAAGAGAGTTATGACACTTCCTCCACAGTAGATAGCGATATCCTTCCCAACATTCTAGTAGCCTATCATTTATAGGGAGAATTGGCAGCTAATACCTTAGTTATTATGATCAACAAGACATGTAATGTTCCACGCCTCGTCTACAGATATATTACTTTGGTGCAAGTCTGTCATTTGGATGACGAAGGGGCCATTGCGCTGGTACGGCTCGATGAATGATCCAGAGAGAGCACGGACTAATAGTTGCGCTGCCATATAGTATTGACAGTCTTGCTCGTCGAATACCGCGTTGGGATTCTGCATGAAGGAATCGTCATGCAATGCAAGCATATCAGCAACGAATGCGTCAGTACAGGCAAACGTACCCTTCCTTTGTTTGCGCTTCATCTCCTCACTCTCTAGTAACATTGCTACGCAAGTGAGCGACCGGTGGCCAGAGTTACTGTACAGTCGTCGGGATCAAAGATAAAGGAGCCGATTCGAGGTTGAGGTAATCGAGCGAGAGACAGCATGAGCCGTGCCAAGCCTCGGAATAGGGTCTGCCGATACATAACATCATGGTGATGTTGATCCTATATGTCAGAGAGTATAGAGCCAATATTAGGATCAATGTATTCCAGTAGCAGGTACGGCATGGAGATCGGTGAGGACTCGCAGTGGCTCGGGATGTAGCGCGTCATAGTCGTCGTCATTGTCCGCCGACGGCACAGGTTGCCAAGATATCGCCAAAAGGTGCGAAGTAACCGTAGGTACCAAGATTGTCGGAGTTCATGGAGATACTGGTATGTAGGTAAGTAATTGAGCGTCGTGGTTGCTGACAAGGCGTCGCGGTTTACTCACATGAGTGTGATTGGAAAGCCCGAAAGCATGGAGGTGGGGAATGCGTACACTCGGGCAATGATGCTGCATCCAGGGATATGTGCCTACCTCTCACAACACACTTTGTCGTCGATGCTGCTGCTGCCGGTGCTGCTAGTGCTGCCGCTAGGGTTTTGCGCCTCCCCTCTAAACATGTGCGGTAAGGGAAAGCGCATCAAAACCCTGCCGCAAAACTGCCTCGAGTTGACGCTGATAGGTACGCACACGTTGAGTTTGCCTCGCATCCACTCCTGATGCGGAGACACGTGGCAGTTGTCGCGGTAGGGGTCGAGGCCCAGCTGAAAACGAACAATATCCTGCATAGCATCCTTCTTGTCGAATAATGTCTGGTAGAAGTCTGAAGTATCGTGGTACTGCTTGGATAGAGCGATGATGTTTTCGTCGGTGTTCTTCGCTGCTGCAAAATTGATCGGCAAACGGCCGAGTAGAGGTCAAAGACGTGGCGGATTGAGTTGGTTGGCTAAAGACTGGAGCGTTAGCGAAGCTAAATGCCCCTTAGGCAATCCTCGGAGAATTCCTCGGATCGATCCGTAAAGTTTATTATAGTAATAAGATTAAGATAAAAAAAATAGTAAAGTAATTTATATCTTTAACTATTAAAATAAGTTTTTTTTAATAAATTATAATAAAAAATAAGTTATTTAACCCTTATTTAAGTTTAAGAAATAATATATTTTTTTAAGTTTTTAAAGTTTTAGAAATATAATTATATTTAATTTTAAAAAAAAACTTATAAGTTATTATAAAAGAGAATAAAGTATTAATAAAAAGTAAGTATTTAATAAAATAAAATAAATAATTTTATTTAAGTATTTAATAAAAGTTCAAAAAATTTTAAAACTTAAGTAAAATTATAAAGAAATTAGATTTTTATATATTATTTAATAAAGTTTAAATTAATTAATTTATATTATTTAGTTTAAATTAAATAAAATTTTTAATCTTTATATATATATATTAAATAGTTTTTTTAAAAAAAAGTATATATTGTAGAAGTTAATATTATATATCTAGATTCCTATTAATACTATAATAAGATTTTAAGAATAAACTTATAAGTTAATATAGTATATTATTAAAAAAGTATAAAAACTAATATTATATAAATATAAATTATTACTTAAATAAAAATTAATATAACTATAATATAGTTAATAAGTAAGTTATATAGA